ACACACACACACACACACACACACACACACACACACACACACACACGACGTACACACACATATATATTTGAACAAAGCAACCAAGTGTTAAATTAAATATGCATTAGGTTTTATTAAAATGATAGCGTGAAGATATTAAATGTATCACAGAACTTGCTATGGCCTGCTATTTTTGAAGTTCTTTAACAACATATAAATCCTTATTTTTTTTATTAAGTGCTGTAATGATCCAGGCCTTAATTTGCCATTTTTCACATATTGTTTGCATGTTTAAAAGTGTCTGTGACAAGATTATTCCCATGCCCTGTTTCCTGGTCTCTCCAGAGTGCAAGAAGCCAAATATTGTGACCCTCTGTTTCCCTAAGCCCAACATGTCATCATCGTAGTATATTGGTGTGGCGGATATGCTCTGATTCATTAATGCACAGCTTAAATCTTGCACATCCATCTGCTCTAATCACAGAACTCTGTTGCTGCTTGCAATAAGAGGAGCCACAAACTACACTGATGCTCTTTGTCCTAATACCCCATGTTTTCTTTATATCAAGCATGCATTGTGAGTTATAAGGGTTTTCAGCTGACTGGTTTTTCTGTCTTGTCACCATGTCAAAGGCTCTTGCTTGGAATACTTAGTGTGGAACCTCTGTCATAGAACGGGTATGCAATAGAAAAAGCTTATTCAATGTCAAAATAGTTTATCACCCTGGGGAATTTCTCAAGCAGAGTTAGAATACAGCATTCTGTAGCATACACCACTACATGTTTTTCTAAAAAAAATAAATGAGGGCTTGAGTCAGCACTCACACAATCAAGCCAAGCACAGCAGATGTTTCCACTTTTGAGTTCTGGGAGCACTGTAGATGAGCGATGAGGTTAAATGCGGTGAGAGACCTTGTCTCAATGAACACAGTGCAGAGTGAAAGAATAAGGATGCAGACATTGACCTTTAACCTCTGCATGCACGTGCACCAGCCACACATTGCTATTCTTTCTCCCCTCTCCCTCTCTGTAGCTCTGTCTCTCTGTCTCTCCATCCACACTCCATGCCCCCAAGATGAAACATTAAAATTTAAAATATTTACGTACTAACTGTTGCTCAGAGTTATTGAATTTATACACTAGGGCCTCAAGCAATTTTCAGGGAGAAATTTGACAAGAAAGGGACAGATGATGTTTAGCCCCAAATGCATGCAGACTCTAAAAATATTTATGAGTAATAATGAGCTAAAATATATTAACACTCACTATTAAAATATGATCAATCGTTCTACAATTATCTGATATGTGATTTTAGTTGCATAGAACATCTTGTTAAAACTACGTTAAAACCTTCAATTTAAATTGTTACATACCAATGACTGAACGCTTTCATGCCTATCATACTTTCTTTCATCTTCTGTTGATGTCTCTTTGCATGGACCTGTGGACAAATAAAAGTAAGTAAAATAAATTATAACTAAATGGCAGATAAGATGAATGTCTTTTACTGAAATAGAAATAATTAAAGCTAGTTATAAGTGCTGCATTTTTATTTTTATAAATCAAAGTTCAATTATATTTAATCTTTAGTTGAAGATTTAATTTTTAACAAGATATTTTTATTTGCCATTAGTTTTCAGAAGTATTATGTTGGGATGACATGCAACTATAATTGAAATAATTACAATAGTATAAGTTATATGGAGATAATGTGGAATGACTTCATGAATAGGTAGAAAAACAATTAAATTCAGTTATGGTGTGATAGTATTTCTACTTTTTTCCAATTATTTAAAAATTTATTTTTTACTTCATATATATGAACTCTATTTTTATTTATGTCTATATGTGTGTGTCTGTCTAAGATTATGGCAAGTCTGTGCAGTACCTATTGAGGATGTGATGTCAATTCTACTATGAATTACTACAAGTAAACATCTTTGTCTACTGAAATGTATTGGTTCTGATGATTTACATAAATATTACTTCAATGGGTATTTTTAAAATAGAGCTCTTACCTTCCATTTCTGTGTTAGTCTTAATTTCTCTTCTTTTATCCATAATCACAGCTAAATTACTCACATCATGCTTCTTTGGAAGATGCTCAGAGACAATCTGTTAAAATTTAAATAAAAATAAGTGATAAAAAAGTGATATCTTTACAAGTTCTAAGAATATTTGAGTTCTTCATTTCAAGAGCAGCAAGCTTGGTTCATAAGGGAAGCATTAGATCCTGTTTAGAGAGGACCTCGTAGGCATTATCAAAATAAAGTCTAAAGTCTAAAGACAGAAGAAACATTTTCATAAAACAAGGATTGCCAACACATGCCAACTAGTAAAGAAACAACGCTGAAGATTATTTATGTTTATAACTTAACAATGAAAATATTGGCTAAGGTCAGACAGTAAAGGAAGAGGACCTCTCCTATCAGTGGATGAGGGGAGGAACATAGAGGGGGAAGGCGGCGGAAGGGTGAGAGCGGGAGGAGATGAGGGAAGGGGCTACAGCCAGGATACAAAGTGAATAAATTGTTAATAATAATAATGATGATGATGAAAATGAAATCATTGCACACACAATAGATGCACAAAACAAATAGTCACTATTTAATAATTAAATGAAAAATTTTAGCTACTTACAGTTTTAGGATAATCACACAATCTTTATTTAGAACTGAATAGCATCTTCATTCTATTACCAAATATTGTGCTGAAAGTTGCCTAAACCCCAGTTAAGTATAAACTTTATAACATGCTAAAGATTTCAAATGAAAACAGACATTCCTGAGTGTATTTAACGAGACAAAATAGCATAAAGTGAGAACTCTTAAGTATAATATTTAACATACCAGTGACTGAACTTTTTCATGGTCATCACGCTCTCTCTGTTCCTCTCTTGATGTCACTTCTCTCTCTGGTTCTGCTGATAAATGGATGCATTTAGATAACATTAGCTGATGTATCGTGATAAGGTGACCATGTTTCTGTGGAAAGTCACATATTCAAGCATGATTGGGCAACATCAACTTGTCTTGATAGGTTTAAAAAACACACAAAGCTGGGTGGGTGGGAAAAAAAGAGGTGGATCTGGGAAGAGTAGGGAGAGGAGGATGAACGTGATCAAAAACATTTTGCCTCTGAGAGAATTAATAAAGCATGTACCTAGAGAATGATATGAAAAATTGTCCATGGCTATACATGATAGACCTAATATGTGGTAGAAGAAGAAATAGGAACATTATCTGCACAATTTTTAAGGGAGAGTTCATTTATGACAAAAATAAAAACAAGATGCAGGCTTGAAGTTAAGTACTGCTTATAGAAGTATTCAGGATGGAAAGGCGTCAATTCCCAGTTTTAGCACACATTGAATTGTTACTAAACAAATGAATGTATAGCATGCTGGACCCTGGAAGGCCATTTCCAATTGTTACTCACAAAATTGCATAAAATGAGGTAAGAAATAAAACAGTAATGTCGAACTTCACAAAATGCAAAGTTTAGTTTTCTGTGTCTCACTTTTCTATATGGCTGTAACACGATTAGGTAACTTATTTCAAATCTCTCCTTCTTGGATGTAGGAAGCTGCTCCTGATGAGGAGGAGGGCTGATGATATAAAGCACTTTGGTAAAACGTGGGCGTTGTGTGTGCATGCAGTGTTGAAACAAATAGGAGAGATGATTTGACATTTTCTGGGTATATTATATTGATTTCTTATGCCTTCCCAATAGAATGCTTATATCTAATAATTACATATTTATAATTATGCAACTGCTTGATAACAAATAGAATTCATATGCAAAGTAAAAAAAAAGATTTATTTTTGCTCTTCTTTTAAAAGATTTATTTATTTATAATTTATACAGCATTTTGCCTACGTGTGTGCCTGCCTACCAGAAGAGGGCATGTTGTACTTGATCTCTCAACTTCCGCTGTGGCTTTCTTTTTTCCAGTTCCTTTATTTTGACCTATATGATATTCTCCTGAGAGTTACTCCTTGATGGATATTGATTAACGGTCATACATGACTAATCACCCATGTGTCTATATACCACAAGAAAATCAAACATCAGGCAACAGGATAAGATATTATAATGCTTAATATCTCCCCAAAAAGAAAGAAGAGAAGATGGTGGGAAACACGTGCATCTACTTCCTGACAATGTTACAGATTGGAAGCTCTTCTCTGATTTTATAACACTCTAAAGAATTCCACTATTTTCATTGAGACAAGCACACACTTCTCCCCTGTTTTTTTTTCCTTCCTTGATCATTATTCTCATCTTTCACTCCCCTGTCTTGCCTATACTTTGTAGTGTTTTACTGTTCTTCCCATACTGCAACCTTGTAACTTATTGAAAAATTTGATTGCTTTATTGGTAGGTTCCATTTCATGTTTGCAGAACATGGATTAGATGTAATCTTTGAGCCATTTATTCTACTGTATGACAGAAATACACAAACATTGTTATCCAGTTGTATTGTATTGATTTATGCAACTATTTTTCAAAGGGTTACACACACACAAAAAAAGATTTTACCATTCATTTCTAGACTTGTATCATCTTCTCTCCTTTGATCTACAGTGTCTGTTTCATGACCTAGATTCTCTTTTGTTGAAGGAAGTGCAGAGACAATCTGTGAAAAATTGAAATTGAGTTGAATATCTTCCTCTTTCCTGGGAAGATCAGAGTTTCATATTGCAAAGCAGTGAGATAGCCAAATTAAGGAAAACACTTCATCAGAGTCCACATTTTTGAAGAGAAAATTTTAGGCATGCTACCTAATTACAGTCTAACTTTTGTCTACATATGGCCACTGACAATGAAAGCCAACATGAAGGCTGCTATAGACGTAAGAGCCATTGTCAAAAATATGGCAAAAGATACATTTAAAATTATTTGCTACTAGTATAAAAATTAGAAGATACAACACACAAACAATATGCACATCTATGCCAAAATTCATTTGTAGTTTATCAAATTAAAATCACATCATCATACATGTTAAACTCTCATCTGCACCCAAAGAACTCACAATTTAATGCAGCATTAATGGGCTATTTATTAACCATGTAGGAAGACTCAGAAGCCTATCATCATGGCGACAAATATTAGTAAAAATGTGTTTCTCACTTTGAATGTTGATGGTCAGAGATCAACAATACCTTGCTGCCATCACAGAAATGTTAATTAAAATATATAGTGTGATATTAAATCTCCAAATGGAAAAATAACCCTTATTAATATAATTGATACAAAACAGTATTAACCAATTACCAAGATAAAAACACTTTTAAAATTAAATAATTGTGAGCAATTATTTTATAAGAAAATTGTACAAGTAATTTTATTGTCTTATTATTTCTAGTTTCAAATTAAAACAATATTAGATGAACATGTTTGATTTAAATTTTATATACCAAAGATGGAACTTTTTCATTCTTATTGCTCCTCCTTGGCTCTTCTGTTGATGTCACTTCTTTGTTTGTATCTGATGAGAAATAAAGTTATTTAATTAATTTTAACTATAATGTAATGAATCATATTGTTAAAGTCTTACATAAACACAAAAGTTTAGATACAGTTAAGGAGAGGGGCATAGGAGGATATGAGGAAGGGAGGCTGGGATTGGGAGAGGATAAAGGATGGGAATACAGCTGGGATACAAAGTGATTAAACTGTAATTAATATAAAAATAAAAATTTAATTTAAAAAATTAAGATTTATTTTCTCAAAGAATACTTTCAAGTACTCTAAGTCTTTAGTTGAAGCTTTAGCATTTCATGAGATACTTTTGACCATATAAAACTTAAATATATCCCTTGGGACAGATATGAAAATGCACCAAGTTCAGAGAATTGAAGCATTTCATGTGTTCACCTAAAAATTAATAAACTCAGCACAGAAGAAGAAATACTCAGAAACAAATTTTAAAACACAGCTGGAGTATTCACACTCACCATGTACAACCTCAATGAGACTTACGTTTGCTCAACATACGTGAGCACCAATAGAACCAAAACAATTTTGATCATGGCACTTACGTTGTTTATTTTGTATCTTGTTTCCCTTGGGAAGACTCTGTCAGCCATAGGAAGTCGCCATTGTTGGCTATGTTTTTCTAGGAGTATGGCCATCTCTTTTTGGAGTCCTTTATCAGTCTCCCTTTTGAACATTAATATTTTAACTAATCATTTCACGGTGTAGCTAACTGATTAGATGCAGAGGCTTTTAAGCCATTTTAGTATTCAAAAAGCCATGTGTCACTTAGCAATTATTTATTGAAATCCCACTAAGTGCTATCCAGTCAATAAGAGGATTCAAGGATGGATTTCCATCAGGTAAGTCTGGAGCGAGGTACAACAGTGAGGTTTGGTGCATAAGGGTGGAAATGGGAAGACAAAACACACACACACACACACACACACACACACACACACACATACACCAGACACAGATGGAGCAAAGGATTATTTTCAAACATTTGAATTAGACAGGAGAGTCAGTATCAGCCCGATAGTACAAAAACAAACAAAAAACATAAGACAGATGAACAATCTGAGTCTAAGAGTCACAACAAATTCAAGTTGTTAAAGGATTATAAACAATTTGTAAATATTTAGAGATTAGTAGTTTAAATTGCCGTACTGTAATCGATGTAATGTGGTCAAAGAAAAATGTTAGCACAGTATACATATATGTCAGAGGGTAAAATATGAGACAATGATGAAAGGAAGATGATATTGGCTTGAATTTAGAAAATGTTTCCAGAAATACTCAGCAATCAAATTGCTGGCGTAAAACAAAGTGTTTCTAAGTGCATCAGTGTACAAACCTGGAACGCTGAAATACCCTGCTCCTCAGTTGGCAAAGCCTGTGAAATTAGGTGACACTCGTGAAGAGGTGTACACTTGCAATGTGTTAAACCTCACCAAATGTGCTCAGGTTCCTGTCTCACGGGGTTCTGGCCTGTGTAAGGATGTTCTCCTTTCTCTAGTAGAAGGAGCTACGGGAGGCTTACAGGGCAGTCTGAGGATTTAACAACCATTCCTTAAACACAGACATTGCACGTTCTGGTTTGCAATGCTCAAACTGAAGGAATAGCTTGTGGA